AGCATGCAGCCTTTTTTCTAATAAAAAAAAAAAAAAGGCTCGCCTGCAATTATCAGGATCAGCCTTTTAAAATCAGGGTTCTCTTGCTGACTATCAGGGTCTGCCTTTTTAAAATCACCTCTCTTGCTGGAATGGCTTAAATCAGAGGCTATGCAATTATTGTGACTGAAATCAAATGATTGAAACACTTACAATTATGCGAAAAGGTGATTTTAATGCAAACAAATACAACAGAATACACACTAAAGAAATAAATGGATAATGAACAATAATTAAAATTTTTTACATTGAATGTGTTTGGATAGTAGATTATTTGGGATAATTTTTTGAAAACAAAATACTTTAGCACTTTTTTAATGTGATGTATGTGAGATAAAAAGGTGATTAAAAATGTGTTAATGATGCAAACAAATAAAATTTTGAGACTAATTCACAAGCCAAACAAACCTGAACTTCATTATTTTAAAAATATTTTTTGATTGTATTATTGACATGTTTTTTAATTATTTTTTTATTTTTAATCAAATTTGTATTTTACGTACATCAAATCACGAAAACTACTGCAACACTATTTTAAAATTTTCTACAAATAATCTACTATAGAAACACAGGTGATATTGTGTAAAAACATTTTATAAGTTGATTACCAATTCATCTTTACAAATTAATTTTTGAGCCAGAAATGGCCAAATTTTAAGTTGCAATATTTCTTGCACCTTGTTCTTGGATTGGCAGCACTGCCATGGTCGAATCCTTGCTCTATTATGCAAGAGATCTGACTTCATTGTGTTTAAATAGTTGGAAATTTAAATTCCACATCTCAAGTACATAATGTTCTCAACTAGTTAAATATTCTCACCAACCAGCTGAATAAGATACATTAGTGAAATAAATGTATAAAATTATCACATACTGATAAAATCTCTTTCTTTTAGCAGTAGTAATTTGAATTTATACGTTTTGGCAGTGGTATAAACCAAAAACTTATTAATAAATAAGAACACATTCCAACCAATTCCCAAAAAATATAATTTTGTTTCAAATTCTAACTAATAACTAATCCTAACATGGAAGTATTGAAAAAACTCGTGGTAGCAGGCGACCGAAATTTCCATTGCTACAATCAACTCTTTTTTTTTTTTTTTTCAAAAGGCTGCCTGCTACCATGCTGACTGTATGCACCGTAGCAGGCTTAGATTTAAAAAAAAAAAAAAAAAATTAGCTGCAGGCTATCGTGCACAGTCAATTTAAAAAAAATATTTGCTACCGTGCTGATTAGGCACGTTAGCTATAGTTTTGTACCATGAGGTTGTCAGACCTATATTTGACGGGACTTTTTTTTTGAGGTATATTCTAAGAAATTAACCCCATGTAGGGGTGTAAGGTATAGTATGCATGATGTCTAAATGGTTTGGTGGAAGGAGTTTCGGTAGAATCAAACTATTATAATTAACAAGATGGTTTGTGTGCTATGGCAAACTACTAAGAATTTTTAACAGTTTTCTTAACTAAGATGGTTTGCATGCTACGGCAACTATCGCTCTGTCTAAATAATTTTCTTGTCTTATTCAAAATACTAAGTTAAATTAACTTTTTGTTTTTTTATGAATTATTTTCCAAATTTTCTAGATTCTCTATGTAAAAAGTTCCTTACTGAGTACCTTAATTGATTACTTTTTTTCACCCTTACTGGTTTTGTCATATTTTGTGAGAATCTAGTAAAAAGTAGAAACCATTCCTCCTCAAACAAAGAATTTCTCGGTCACCACTTTTTAGTAACCTTATCTTTCCTTATATTGAAATTATATCTCAATTCTTTCAAGTATGTTCAAATGCATTAAATCACTTATCGTGTAAATATCTATCACCTAAATGCGTACTTTAGACATAGAATAGACTCAGAGGCATTTCGGAATTAATTTACAATTTTAACATATAGACTGAGATAAAAACTCATTTACTGAAAAATAGAAGAACAAGTTTTTGCTATTATATTTTCTTTTTAATGAACCATAAATAAACAAGATTAAATGCAGTTGAAATATGAAGCACTTATAATAAACTGTTCAAAGAGGAAAATACTAGATTCTAAATCTTTAGAAAGACGTGTAAAATTTCAGTTGATGGCAATATTGCTTGACTGCTAAATGCTGATTACTGGGTGAATGTTATTTTTTAAAAGAAGTTCTATCCACTACCGGACATGTACTAATTCAAAACAGGGATGCCTCGAGATTCGAATCATGAAACTTATGGTCACTTAATTATTATTTTTTTTTTTGAAATACACCTAACTAATGTTACAATCAAGTTAATTGTTACGGATGAGGCATTTTAGATAGGTTTTTTCTTTTTTCTTTTTTTTTTTAATCTAAGTAAGAGATTTTGAATCTAGGACTCCTCATTTTTACTCCCTCCCCGATACAAACCAACTCATCCCTCCCAGGTCTTTTAGATAGGTTAAAAATTCTTTCACCAAATCCATATGTCTTGTGAATATTAGGGACTCTAAGGTTTAATTAGCCCAATTAAAATGGATTGGGCCAAGGTTTATCTAGATCAACTTATTTATCTTTAGGGAAATTTGCCAAATTGGTCCCTAACATATGTCAAATAAACTTTTTTAGTCCCTAATATGTAAAATCATCCAAAGTTGTTCCTAACATTTAAATTTTGATTCATTTTGGTCCTAATACGCGTATGTACTTATTTCTCCGACTGAAAATAACATATTCTTCACATTTTCTTGCTATTCTCTTCCTCCATTACACAGCCATCTAGTTGCAGCTACGTTTTTTCTCTTCAATTTCGTTCTTTCAGTGAGGCAATTAGGACACAAATGGGAAAATATGAAGGAAAGATGGCTTTACTCAACTGGAAATGAAGTGTGTTTTTCGATTTTGCCCTTGAAAATATGCCCACGTGAGAGAGGCGTCCTATTTTCAGTCGAAAAAATGAGCAAATACGAGCATTCAAACAAAAATGGATCATAATTTAAATGTTAGAAACAATTCTGGCTGATTTTAAATGATAGGGACTAAAAAAGTTTTTTTGGCAAATGTTAGGGACCAATTTGGCAAATTTCCCTTATCTTTAATGTATTTATATTTAAAATCAGTGATCACTAATAGTAGCATTCATTAATTAACCTCTCGGGTTGAACTGTGAGGCCTCATATTCCCTCCTCTGGTTTTGCAAGAATTAGAGTCACCGTTACAGTGAAATTTTAGTGGTTAGTCATCACCGCCAATTACTGGCTGAAATGATTGCATGGTGTAGACATATATTTCTCTCTCAAATCCTTGAGAATTAAGAATTCCAGCCACCATTGAAGTGAAAAGAACTTTGTCATTGAATGTTGCCAGAAATTAGTCATTGATCGAAATTTGCGACATAATTATACTATATACAATTAGGATTTAGTTTTTTTTTTATAAAATATCATGATTCATTAAAATCTACACTAATATCTGAAATTACATCATTAAACATATATAGTTATCAAAAAATGAAAAATAGAAACTCCAAATCTCAAGAATTAAAATAATATACACGGCAAAGCTCCAAAAATACCCAAAAGTAGATAAAACATTTATAGGCCCAAAACATAAGTGCATGCCTCTAATTGTCAATATGTTAATTAACTGTTTCAAGTCTATATACTAGGGTGAAATCCGTCAAATAAATTTAAAGAATTCCAAATATGAAAAAATATCTTATAAAAGAAATTTTAAGAAAAACTATATAAAACTTGTTAAAAAATTTTCGAAGTTTAAATTATTGAATGATGTGATAAGAGTTTATTAGATTACAATCATGGGTACGAAAGCAAAAAGAATGGTAGAATTTTGCATGATTATATAATAATTAATTTTCAAATATATAAAAATCATTTGTGGGGTTATACATACACAAAGTAATTATGTCATGTAATTGGGATTGACATTTGGGCCCAAATTAGACAAGGGAAGTATTTGGGCCAGGAAGAGCAATAGAAACAGCCGAGAAAGGCAAAAACTTTCTTCTTGTTTGTCAAGCTGAAGAGATGCGCCTTAGTAGCCCAACTTCACTAGTAGAAATTAACCAGCAAAGCAACCGAAAATAATTTTCTCTCAGGGTCCGTTTGTTTCGGGTGAAAATATTTTCCAGGAAAATATTTTCCTAATTTCCCGTGTTTGGTTGCACAAAAGTTACTGAAAACATTTTCCTATGTAAAATATTTTCACTCATCTTATGGAAAACAACTTCCCTTCCAAACTTACTGAAGTTGTTTTCCGACTTACTGAAGTTGTTTTCCGAAATGCATGCATCCCGCTTGTAGTATGTTCCAAACTTACTGAAAACATCTTGTAGTATGTTCTTTTTTTTTTTTAGTGTAAACAGGAGGACTCGAACCCAAGATCTCTTCCTTACACTCCCTCCCCCGTACCACCCAACCCAACCCTCCCCCTAGTATTCAAAATAAAAAAAAAATCTCATCCTGCTCATCCTATGCTAGTAATTAATTATGTATAATAGGGACATTCTTTTCTAGAGAAACTTTCAGTAGTGAGAGTGCAAGATATATGTCACAATAAACATTGCATGTGATTGATATTTGACACTAAATGACCAGCAATTTGTTTATTGCTTAAGGAGATATTTTTTATTCATATATACATTTCTCCAAGATTTTTTAAAGTTAAACAATGCGATAAATTTTCTTATTTTGCATGGGAAGAAGTATGTAGTTATAATGTGTAGAAAGTAAAGATAGAGATAAAAGTGAAAATATTTCAAAAGTTAAACAAACACCAGAAAAATGAAGTAAGAAAATATTTTCAATAAGCTAACCAAACACCTGAAAATGATAAAAGGGAAATGATTTTCATGGAAAATTACTTCCACGGAAAATATTTTCCCAAGGAAAACATTTTACTTCCAACCAAACAGACCCTCAATGGATCAATTTTCCTTTGTGGAACCTATTAATCAACAACCAATATAAACATGAGACTTGGTGGTACTTGAGATGGACTAGCTTTAAATCTTTTTCCACAATGTAGAAGATAAACAAAAACCACATGAGTTTCAAGAAACTCAGGCTATTAGTTTATTGGCACAAGGTAATTTTACACTAACTTAGACATGCATTTGATCAGAGCAAAAGAAAGCTACTTCTTTTATATTTCTAATAATAATAATAGCACAGCCTACTAGCTTTTGATCAGGATCGGATGATCTCATCAAAGCTTGTTCTTGTACCAAAAAACACCCTTGCCTCCTTCATCTGGCTCAACATAAATACACTCTTTAGCCTCCCTCCACATTGCCTTGTAAAATGGAGTGCCATCAAGTTGGTAGTATTCTCCAAGAAGTGGCTTGATTGCTTTGGTTGCCTCCATTGCATGATAATGTGGCATTGTTGAGAAGAGATGGTGAGCCACATGTGTGTCGGTGATGTTATGGAAAACCTTGTTCAGGACGCCGTAGTCTCTGTCAACAGTTGCCAATGCGCCCCTCAGCCAATCCCACTCAGATGAATCATAGTGTGGCAATGAAGGGTGAGTGTGCTGCAGATACGTGATCAAAACAAGGAAGCCATTGACAATAAGCAATGGTACCCCATAGATGCATATCAGCCAGGCTAGCCCTTTAGCCATTGCTACATGGTAAAGCAGATAAGATGTTGCAATGACACCAACATCAGAAATGTAGATTTGAAGCCTCTCGCGATCATTGTAGATTGGGCCATAAGGATCATAATGGCATGCGAAACGGTCGTATGGTCTGCCTGAGACATTGAAAGCCAAGTACAAGGGCCAACCCAGAGTGAGCGTGGTTGTCAGGGTAATGACTCTGCCTGGAGGATTGTTCAAGTACTTGGAATACCATGCCATCTTGGATTTTGGCTTTGGTACAAAGACTTCATCACGTTCGAGCGATCCAGTGTTGGAGTGGTGGCGACGGTGGCTGTACTTCCACGAGAAGTAGGGGACCAGAAGCGCGGAGTGGAGGATAAGACCGACTGTGTCATCCACCCATTGGTAGTCACTGAATGCATGGTGACCGCACTCGTGGGCGATGACCCAAACTCCAGTGCAAACGCATCCCTGGAAAATCCAATACACAGGCCAGGCAAGGTAGCTGTATGGAGAAGGAAGGAGATGAAAATAAGTTGTGGCAATGTAGTAGAACAGAGAGACCAAGGTCAGGTCATAAACAACATAGGAGAATGAGCGAAGGAGCGATCTCTTGAAGCAGTGAGGTGGGATGGCTTTCTTGATATCACCAACGGTAAACGGAGGCTTTGAGTATGGGACTCTTTCAAGGGGGTTTTTCTTGTCTTCAGTCTTGGTTGTTGCAGCAGACATGCGGCCTCCGGCTCCCATTGCTGATACAATGCCCTATCTGCTTAATAACCACACCTGAAAATGGACAATGTGGATGATTACAAAGCAGAGAAGCTTGAAGGAATGATTACATACTTTTTACAAACATTCTTTGCTTACAGTTTATTACAATCAAATCACTTCAATTATCTTTGTGCTAAATAGAACATCAAGACGATTAGTCATTAGACAGGTTCGTGGGGATATGGTCAAGGAAAACTAGTTACCACAGATTTATTGAATGGTCTAGGCAAAATTTCCATGTGACCAGAGTATTAAAAGAATAGATTCTGAGACAGAGTATAGTATTTAATCAGAATATTAGTACTTTCTTCTATTTTAATCTCTGTAGCTTCTCTTTTCCTTATCTGTGGCAAATCCAAGAAAGTGACAAATTCATTGAATGGCTCATGGAGTAAAAAATCTTATTGTGTTGATCTATCCCTTGGGCAGAGATTCATACTGGTGGCCACTAAAATTTTCCTCAATCTTCTACCTTTTAACTTCTTCTGGTGCAAAGACTGTCATCCATAAATAGCAGTTTTAAGGACCCTTCTTCTATCAAAAACTAAAGGACCATACATGCCAAAAGGGATCAGGGACCACCAATGTTAATGATGCTGTCAGATAATGTACCAGGAATTCCACCAATCATGTTTTAATAGGATCTAAGAAATCTATTGCCCATCAAGAAGACACACTAGTACTAGGCCAGCCCTAAGTCCCTAACTGAACTCTTTCTTTCCTGTGGGACACATCTTAGCACATCAGAGACTCAGCAGTGACCATACATTTCAACATCTCTTCATTTCAGCCTGGAGAAAGACATGCTCATTCTTTCCAGCTAATGACAGTGCAAATGAGAAGATTTCTATTGTCTGGTCTAAAAATAATTGTGCAATGGAAGCACATTCTCTATAATGGCTGTGAGCTAAGGCGGCCAAGATGTCAAAATCAATCCAATAAGCAAAAAGTCAAGAATTTATACAAAAAGTTTTCTTGTATAATTACTGTATTTGAACAAAATACAGAGCAGGCGTAAATAAGCATGAAAGTCAAAATCTTCAACTTACTCGACCTTCACACTATTTAATCCAAAACAACTCAGTTCGCTTGAATGAATTTAATACAGAGCTATTAACATAGTCCTGCATTATTATGCCTGTAAATTTGAGTATAAAGTCTGTCCACGCAAAAGATCTGATGCCTTCACATAAGAAAAATCAAGACGGACTGGATTTAGAATTTTCCTCACACATACCATGACTATTACACGCAAAAGATTTTCCTACACGGCCAATACAAATATTACAAGTTAATACCTCAATCATCTGGCAAGAACTCCATTCTTTATTAATTTCACATAGAATTTGGACCATTTCATGTTTCAAAGCCGCCCAAGATTGATTTTCTACCAACAAATGCCTACTTCCATTTTTTTTTCTTCCAAATATGGTTCGTGTGTCAGAGATGACAAAGATGAATTATTTGGCCTGCACGAATCAGATTATGAATATATACAAGACAAGGTAGCCATAAGTGCCCAAGAATGGACCCTTGTGACATAGGTACCACATCAGACTTCATCAAAGAATTGTTTAAAATTTAGTTCAATTCAATGTTTGCCTAAAGTATCGTAGTAAATCCCATAGACAAATCGTGTACGGTTGAAATTTTTGCCCCTTGAGACTACTCAAATCTCAAAAGGGGCTGTTGAATCTGGACATATTCTTCCATCGCCTGAAAGACTAATGAATGGTTTTTTCAAGCTACAGTTGAAAATGTGCTTTTCATTTTGTTAATGGTTTTTCCAAGCTACACTTGATTCAAACGTGCTTTTCATTTTTTTTTCTATGCATAGATAGTAACGAAATTCATCAAAACATTAAACGAGGGTTATCTTTTATCTTTTCAAAGCAATAATAATTAATTGACCCCATCACCCAACTTTTTGGCTGCAATAATACAGATATTCCCCTGTATTAATAATTAATTTGGTCAATGAATCCTCCCTTTCTTCTGGAAAAGGGAAATTACACTAGTGACAAATCCTAAAAGGGGTTCGTTATGTCTTTTGATCAATTTCTTTTGTCTTAGCACATGACAGGAGAAAAAAAAAAAGCTTATCAGAAAGAAGGGAAAATCTTGTGTAATAGCATAATTTGTAGGAGATTTTAATAAGGTTGATTATGGCATTGGAAAAATGTATACAAAGACTTAACATTTCGAATGATGAATGTTAAATTCATTTATAATTCCTCCATCTCATATATTTTTAACTTTTTACTATCTTTTTTTTTTTTTTACCCTTCACTGGAAAAATAAAAAATGAAAAGCAATAATAGCTTTGAGCTAACAGCCAAAAAGGGTGTTTAGATTTATATAATATTATATGCATAAAAATCTAAAGCACAACAAACTTCTATTCAATTGCAAAGACTTGCTCGGTAAACAAAAAAGCAAACTTAACCGCAATTTCTGCTTCAGTCATTAAAAAAGATAAAGAAAAAAGAATCCTTCTTTCCAAAGCAAAAGGACTCACATGCAACTTACACAAATCAAACAATAAATCATCACAATCCCAACATCCATTCATAAACAAGCAACACAACTTCCAAAGCACAAAAAAAAACAATAAAAAAAATAAGAAAAAAAATCATAAAACCCCAACAACCATAGACGTGTAATACTACAAATAGTAAAGTACATTCTTGCCCCTCCCCCCCTCTCTCCCAAAAAAAAAGATGGAAAATGATGACAATTGGTCATCATTGGGATTATTTGGAATATTTTTACTGTAGTACTTTTTGTGATGTGATGTATGTGAGATAAAAAGATATTGAGAAGATAAAAAGGTGTATTGAAAATTGTAAAGATGATGTAAGCAAATAAAATTGGGGAAATATGAAGCAATCCAAACAAACCTAATTTAATGTAGCCAGCAATTTTAACTTTTGTTTCACTTTTCTATCAGCCAGCTGCAAGAAAAACAGCCAGAAAGCCGTCACAGTTTCATTTTCAAACATGTCGTTTTCCATTCCATTGTTTTGCCGTCCAACACTTCTGAATATTCAAATTCACATGCATTCATACAAACATACACTAAAAATCAGCCTGCATGTTTCTGTTTGAGTTGAAATGTATTCATAAGTATGAAAATTTCCAAAAAAGCTGCACAGATTCATAGCCACTACAAAATATATAAGTGATAAAGGGGGAAAGAATTAAAAAACAAAAAAAGAAGAAAGAAAGAAAGATTCTTGAATCAGATGAATTTTCTTCTTTAAACAAAAAAAAAAAGGAAATTATCTAAATTTAGAGATCCACCCATGAAAGAGGTAATGCAGATAAAAGTATTAAGTATCTAATGAAAGAGTAATTGTTTGACATGCATATTAAAAAAAAAAATCACTGCAAAAAATCAAGAAGGTGCATTTATTCATCAATAAATGAATATCTACACACATTATAGATAAGAAAACAAAAAAAAAAGTACCTCAAAAGCGCTTCTTGAGAGAACGCTTTCGCTTGAAAACTTCTGCCCTCTTGCCTTCTTCTTCTTCCTGTGAAGAGAACAAAAGAAACAGAAAAGAGAAAGAAAGAGAGAGGCTTTTGTTTTTCTGAGTTTTTCTCGTTCACCTGAGGCTCTTAATATAGAGGAGGCTGCAGGAGTGGGGCCCACTCCATGCATGCTTTGGACGCAACGGACAAGATTTGATTGGGATGAGATACCACGTGGCTCGATGGACGGCTGAGATTTGGAAATGAGGATTATTGGAGTTTGGTCTTTGGTGGGTGTGGTATAGAGGATTGAGATTTTGGGTTGAGCGTGAATTGACGAAAATGGGTTTGCATGGAATAAATGACACAGAGAGATATTAGCCGTACACTCGTCGGGGCGAAATGGGCAAGTGGCGAAGCAATGGTTTTCACGCGTGACTGCTTAATTGCATGCCCTGGAACACGTGTGCCACCTCTTTAATAGAGTAAAAAGAGCATTGGCCATATTTCGTAGAATATTTCCTTCCACACAAAGTATCTAATTACTAGTTTTTAACTTTTATTCTTTTATTCTCTTAATTATTCTTTAGTTTTCACAGCATCTTCTCTTTGGATTTGTAATCTTGTATCCTCCAAAATTGTATGAGTTAACTTTTATGTGATAGTGAATTTGGAAGGCCTTTTTTTTTTTTTTTGCTTTTTGGAAAGGAAAATACTAATGGCATTTTGAATCTTTATCATGTCACTCCCACTATCTCATTTTTTGTATAATATCAATCTAAAAAATTATATGAGAAAGAGAATAATGAAAATGCTAAGAAAAGTGAAGTGTCATTAATTATTGTTACTTGGGGAAAATTAAAAATTTATGTATTTTGTAATATTTCTTGATTAAAGGTAAAGCCATGAGTTGCAATGAGTTAATGGAGTATTTATTACTTGATCACTTGCTTCGCTTTCTATGTCCTAATAACCTGCACGGCATCAGCTGCTTAATGTATTGAAAACTTGATCCGAGTTGCTTAATGTGTTCATCTTTTTATATTAGCTAAATTAAGTATATTCTCCCCTACACTAAAAAAAAAATCAAATATTTTTACCTAAAAAAGTTTGTTTGTTTACAATTATAACACGTATCATAGATTGCAAGTTCATTCACAATTTATGGTTCAAATGTGATGCCACCTTTTTTTAAAAAAAATTGAAACGATAATTTCTAACCTACTCCAATACTAAGGAGAAGAGAAGGACCTAAGTTAAAAAGTGATTGTATAATTGAACTTTACATTTTACTATAGTAGTTTCACGTAATAGGGAAAAAATTGTCACTAGCAATTGTTTCATTTATAATTTTTCGTTGATAACAACACCACCACATTGAATGCAAGTCTAATTTATGACGCATTAATTGCATTTTTCAATAAGAAAATCATATACTAAATGACAGTACGATTGACATTACAGAAATAAATTAAAAAATGGTTCACTTTCTCAATTTTTGAAATTTTATATTTGTGTATATCATTTAGAAATATCTTGATTTTAAATCCCTTTTTATATGTAAACTCTTTCAACAAATGAATTATATTGGAGATAGAGAGGAAACACATAAAAGTTGGACTGCAATTTTGTAATGATCCCACATCAGCTAGGGAGGAAGCCTGGGCTGTTTTGATAAGTCTGTAGTGGTCTCTCCCACCTCGACGAGGCCTTTTGGTGAGGTAGCCTGCGGGTGTCTGTTGTGTTGTCCAACACCGCCAAGAACAAAACTCACGGTCCCATGGGGTGTGAAATTGTGGGACAATATTGTCGAGTGACTGATAGAAATTTGGCCAAGAATTTTTTTTTTTTTTTTGAGAAATTTGCTGAGAAGATTTAATAGATCTATGTGGTGATGAGCTATTCTGTTGTAGTATACTGGATGCTCCATTTTTTCCACCGCAACCTTGTCTAATAAAACGACAATGGGGATCTTAGCAACAACCGCAGTTAGGAGATGGCCTCGGTGATGCCGACAGCAACAACCTCGTCTAGTGAAACGACAATACTTTTTTTTTATTATTATTAAAGTACCAAAATTATCTCCCTCGAATCAAATCAATTAACCTAAGTATTAGTGGTAATCTAGTCATGTTTGATGTGCCATTGAAAAATTTTGTCTGTGGCATTATACGAGAAGAGTGCTCCGAGGGGATTTTTAAGTTGGTGGGGGGTAAACTTTTTTCTCCTCCTCCATTAATTACCATTGGATAATTTCTTTTTCGACAAAAAAATGAATGTGGTAGGATTGTTTCAAAAAAAAAAAAAAGTATGTGGTGGGAAAAGAGCAATAGTTGATTCCACAAAATAAGTGTGTCCTTTTACATGGCACAATTAGAAAGTAGAATAATTCATTATGTAAGAAAGGTAATTAATCTCAAAATGTTGGAGTTCACAAAGTTACAATTGGTGGTTAAGTAACAAACATTTTAGTTTCTTTTTTATTTTCTATTTAAAGAGAGTTGGGACATTCAAATTTTATTTTCTTTTTTTTTTCTATTTAAAGAGAGTTGTGAAACAGCATTGTGGCTAGGGCTTTTTGCCTAAATAATCTGATGTTTATTAGAAATTTCAAAATTAGATGAAACATTTGAATTCTTTCCAAAATAATGATTTCGTTAATTAAAATGTTGACTTCAAGGTCACCTTTTTAGATGATGATTTTAAAGTCACTATTTAAGATATTAGATGGCAACTTTAAGTGACTTTACAACAAGCAAACTAAAGATTAATGGTGACTAAAAATTGGTGGATTTATTTCACATTAGTTATGAAAGAGGCAAGTATTTGAATTTGATTATAAATGTGAGATAAAGTCTCACACCTTGAGTTAACTTTTGGGATGGGACAGTCCAATAATCCAATACTAGTACCAGATCTTATGACAACTCTTCCTAATAAACATGAATGAAAAATTGGTGATCCAACCTGACGTGTGAGGGAAAATCGGCGTCTAAGATAATAACTTTGAATTCCCTCTTTTGAATGGAAAATGCTACATGCCTAGCCCCACTTTGCTTTTAATCCATTGCTGTCTATGGGACCCAAACTGCGCCCTCGGTAAACAGCTCCACCCCGACGCAGGCCTTGGGTGGGTTTGGTTCAACATAAACAGGTTTGAGGTGCTCATAAAAGATACTCCCTCCGTCCCACTTTGATAGTTCTGTTTCTTTTTTCACATAATTTAAAAAAAAGTAGTTAATTTTATTAGAAAAATAAATTTAGATTGCTATTTTTTAAAAATATCCTGACATTAAATATAGTACAAGTTTATGGGAATTTAAATTGATGGTAAAAAAAGAATCAACTCTCATTAAATGGGGTAGATTTATAGTAACAACTACTTACATTGAATAAGGGTATTTTAGGAAAATTAAAATATAACTACATTCTTCAATTGAAAAGTGGACTATAATTTGAGACAGATGAAAAAGAAATACAGGACTATCAAAGTGGGACGGAGGGAGTATGATGTTACTTAATTCAGTCCGACACACTAGGATAATAAGTAGCGTCGATTCACGGAATCCTACATACATCAGCCTAGGGGCACGGGCGCCAGCGATAAGTAATTCCTCACCTATTATAAGTACTTCTCTCCTCCCATTGTCCAGGTAACAGAACTCACCTCAATTTCCCTCAATCAAGCTTCTTAATACTTCGGAAGTTAATTTAGGCATTGAAATGACACTGAAGAAAAACCTCATATTGCTTTGCCTTCGTTCTTGTTGTGCTGCAAGACTCGCGGTCGGCATTGCCAAGTTCTTGCTTGCCCACTATCCTAACAATCAGACCTTTGAAGTAGGTCTTTTGAAGGGTTAATCACAAAAACTCCCCTAAGGTATAGCCACTTTGCGCCACTTGGCCTTTGGTCCAGTGGTCATCCCAAGCCTTCTTAGACTTGGTGGTGCGGGAGGTCAAGGGTTCGAACCTTGTTTCTCACAAAAATTATCACAATATGTGACTATCTTCATTGATCAGCTTCAATGGAGTTTCTACTCATATCGAGTCCCCTCCCCCTCCCCCTAGAATATGTTAGCTTAGATTATAGGAATTCTATCGTATCAACAAAAAAAAAGTATAGTCACTTTGCACTTCATTCTTTAAACATTATTTTTTATCACTTTATCCCCTAAATTATTAGTCAACATTTGGAATTTAAACATTTGAATTTAACTAACTTATAACTATTGGATAATATGAATCAAATGTATTAAAGAATGAAAAAATAATTCAATAATCTTAAGAAATGACACATGTTAGAGTATCAGTTCCCTTTTAGAATATTTTAACTGGTGAGTAGATATACAGATAGAATTGAGCGTTTGTTTAGCTACAACTTTCACTTTTGTCTTTTGGTTCCAAATTTGTCTCATTCTAATTTTATTTGTATTGATTTAGTATTTTAGAATTTTAGAAAATATTAAATTGTTCAATACAAAACAAAAATAGAGATAAGGAGTACATTTCCTGAAGATATTTTGGTCACAAAAAATGACACTATTTCTTTTTGTTAATAAGCGACTAATAAGCAGTAATTGGTGTTAATGATGGGGCAAAATATATAGCTAGAGTTTAGTAGGCAAAATGCTATCGAGGCCCAAGTTTAAGGGAACAAAGTGATGCAGAGCAAGTTGAGAATATTTTTGGAACAAGAATGATGGTATGAAGGATTGCAAGAAGTTGGATAGTAGAAACTGCTTTCCAGAAGACTTCCTTCGTTATAGTGCTTCCACGCCTCATATCGAGAAGTCTATCCAATTAATCAGAAGACTTCCTTCGATATAACGTGCCTACGCCTTACATTGAGGAGTCTTTTGACTGAAACGAAGTTTAGCATTCTTTTTTTAATTTTAATTTTTTGCTTTAGGAAACCTTAGGGATTCTTTAGTAGCCTTTTATCAATTTTATCCAACTTTGTTCGGTGTCACGAATAAAATTAAGAGTTTTCTCTCGTTCTTCGAATCTGTGATTAGGATTCATGAAATTGTTCGAATGACTTTTTCTTTTGGATTATACTTCCCGTATCACAAAGTGTACTTAACCCTTGTTTATAAGATTGCATACAATTCCAATTTGTGGG